CATGTGATACAGATGTAACTACAGAGTGCAGGAAAGCAAGACAAAGGTCATCAGGGAGCAGTCCTGTAAAAGAAGGCTCCTTTGAAGAGGAGAAACAGTAGTAGGAGGGATTTGCCCAGGGAAGAAGTCTTTGCTCACTCCAGTTATCTACAGTCCACCTTTTGACATCAGGAGTTCTACCTATTCAATCAATTTTCAGGTGTCCCCTAGCAGGGGTCAGATATATCTGCTGGTAGGTAGGATACCATGCTTGAATGCCTCCTCCTGTAGGAGAGTGCCATTGCAATTAAATGCAGAGCCTTCATCATGCTGGCTTTTGATGACAAGGGAAACTACTCAGGAATGTATTTGATTTGGTGTTGCATTGGCAGCATCCTGGGCTTTGCATACACGTGCACCAGTGACACGGAGCAGCGATGTTGGCTGGGCAGCAGCCCCAGCAGAGCCTGGGATGAGTCCAAGCACATTCTTTTTGTTGCCTTTGTGGTGAGGTCCCACAGGAAAATATGTCTGTAAAGGGAAAATGAAGAGAACTTCCCCTCCCCACACACCCAGAGCCCCTTCATGTTAAATGAAGTTCGTTTTCAGGAAACCTGTGTTTCTGGAGTCCAATTAAAAGTGAGTCATCAAAGCTGCAGGGAATGGTTTTTGAAGTTTGTAACTCTTTGGAAGTCTCCCAGTGGTGTGATTTCCCAAAAGTGGCTTGTGAAGGATTGTTCAAGAAGTCTGAATGTATTTGCTGTGGATTTCATTATATGCTTAGCACAGATAGGTTAGTAAAGGTGTGAAATATGAATGAGTCTTCTTAACTGATGCTGTAGCACAAAATTGCTCTAGTAATGGATAGGTGGAGATTTTGGAGTTTTGAGCTGGACTTTTCCCCTGCTTTCTCACAGTGGAGTCAGTGGAGCTCACTACAGAGAATGAGACATTTAACAGTAATGTGAAAAATGTGGAGAATGGCACCTAGAAAGCTCTTGGGATGTGGTGCAGGTACATATGATGCACATGAGCAACCTGTGAAGCACATGGGACCCTGTCAGTGATCACACATGAGAAGACATCCAGAAGTGTGGAGGAGAGATGTGAGGCAGTCTCACCTATGATGATGTTATCCTAAGGGAGTTTTCTGCTTTTAGTATGTGTCTTCATGCAGAGATTACTACGAATGGCTTTTTGAGACAGCATGTCACACACAAACTCTCTTATATTTCCTAGAGAGGCAATTATGATTCTCATGGCTAAACTCGTTTTGACGTGTGATTGAAAGATCCTTGTGATTTGTGTTTGAATTACATAGAAGAGTGATTTCTTATCTACTTCAAAGAGCACTGTAAGTATTGTGGAAGATATTCTTTCTGCCAGAAGGTGCCAGTGGATTGTGTAGCATAGCAAAAAATAAAGTCACGTGGCAGATGTACCACCTGCCATGAAATTAGAGTTCCCATGGGTGCATTTTCTACCATATATAAGTTTGTATCAGAATTGTTCAGCATTGCTGAGTTCTTGGAAGGAAGACAAAGAAGGAATGAATATTGAAGAGGAAGATAAAAGTGAAGGAGAGGCTGAGCACTGGGTTCTGGGGATAGTGCAGGAGTCATCACAATGCATTCTGGTACCCCAGGACCTCCACTGTACACAATGCATTCTCCCACGTGTGAAGTACTGAGAGCATTCATCTCACAGTGGTCAGGTGGAAAAAAACATGGCTAATTTCTGGATGTGAATGAAATGGAATCTTCACAAAGCTTGAGTAACTACAATCATATTGATGAATGGATGGTGATCAGAGCAGATACTAAGCCAGGATATCTTGTAGTAACAATGAGCTACAACGTATTTTAAGAACTTGAGAAATAGAAACTAAGCCAGAAAAGTGTTCTAGATGTGTGCAGTATTGCATGTCTTGATCTCAGATGAATGAAATTGAGAGTAACGTCTTGTCATCAAATGAAATGTGATGGAGTGATAAAGGACCTCTAGCTAAAAACTTGGGGCTGCTTCATGAGGCCATTCATTACAATTTTATTTTTTTTTTAAATAGGAAAAAAAATCAAAGAGCTTTATTAGCTGTATAAAAAAATTGAAAGTTAGCTAGGAAAACATTCCAAGGTTAAGACTGCTTCGGTATAAAGAAGGAATTTAACTAAGTGCAGCTCATTAAAAAAGGGTCAGATGTCTATAAAAAAACATTAATCTCTCACTGCATTTTAAATCTCTGTTAAAGTATATTATATTTATGCATACGATTTCTTATTGCTTAATTTCTGCAAGGTTCATGATGTACTTTTTCAAGTCAATTTAAAGAATTTTCAAAAGTTTTAGCCTCCAGAATATCTTGCATTATTCTGTTATCACCACGTGGGTTTTTATTCTCTCTCCGTTACTTAGACTCTAGCAAAGTTCTTTATGAAAGAGTCTGTTTAGTTTACAAAATGTGTTTTGAATACACAATACCAACTTTTGTAGGTGAAGGCACCTTTTTACTTTGGTGTATTTTGTGGCATCACAGTGTAACCTTTAGTACTTAACATTTTCTGGTATTAAAATGAAAACTTCATTGAAAACTTTGGGCTGGTATGGATAGGGAAAATGTCTGTAGTGCCATAATCCTAGTTGTATATATTCAGATCGTTAAATAGAGGCAAAGCAATAGGGTGGAAGTCTAATTGGCACTAAGGAATATTGATTCATATACTTTTAGAAATTATAGACAGAAAAGAATCACACGTCACCAAATTTCAGGATGAATAATACATGAATAAATGAAACCTCACCGGAATTGAATTAAAAGCAAGAGCACAGTTATCAGACTGAAGGAAGAAACATGAACAGTAGGCAGGCAGGATGGATGCCACTAAGACACTTCCATGCTTTTCAGGTGAAGTTTTCAGAAAAGCATGATGGCCTTGGGTGCTCACAGGCTGCAGAGTCTTGGGGGGACTGGCCTGGCTGCCTGCACGTAGGCATCTTGGCAATGGGTGTCTCTACCCAGGTGGACATCTTGGGGACACGTGCCCTGGATGAACTCAGGGCAGGTTGCCATGTCCCCTGCAGCAGGCGTCTGGCCAGGAGGAAGGAGCCCATTGACTTCAGCCAGCTCCAGTAGACTTGGAACAATCTGACCCTTTGAGGGGAAGAAATAATGAGAGCAAGCTCGTGCTTTTACTGCTGGATTAAGTTTTGACAAATTGAAGTCACATGTTGCTACTAAAAGCAAAGCCCTTCACGTGGAGAGAACTGGAATGCACATGCATATATCACTGATATGTCTACAGATTGTACTAGTCAAATATCTAGTCCTTGCATTTGTTTTTTTATTCTGCTGCACTACTGCTTTATACTTACTGCAAATAGTTACATTTATTTATTCTGAAGATTGCCAGTAAATGTTTTATTTGTATTCTTTTTTTTCCCTCTAGTTTGAATTAGCATGAGCTCCTCATCTGCTATTAAAATGTAAGAGATCAGAAGTGATGCTTGAATAAACAGTGTAGTATTTTATGTAACACTCTGGCAGCTTCAGATTTTCGGCATCATCCAATATTCCACTAGGTGTGGATTTTCAAAAGCTGACTTCTGTATTTCACACCTGCAAACTAGAGCAGTATTTAGTAGGAAGCACTGTGTGCCTGCAATTAGTTCTGAACGCAGAAGTGAAATCTGGCCCCATGCATCAAAGAGCTCAGAGGCAGTTTCTCTGGTTATTTGCTCAGCTGACTGTATTTGATCAGAGCTGATGTCCTCAGTGGTGTGGTGAGGTTGACATACTTACAGGAATCCGAGTGCATTACTAATTGCAGTCACATTGCAGAATGAGTAAGTCCAAGGGTTTTCCATGCTTCTTTCAGCACTTTCCACCATGAAAAACAGACTAAGCATTGGTTGATTCTTTGTGATCCACTGGAACTGAGACATTTATATTTAAGTTCCATATGAACAAGGCTCCGATTTATTTTTCAAGCGTACTTGGCTAGTTCTGTTTAGGCCTTTTGCAGCTTGCAACTTCCTGGGAACAACTGCATCCCAAATAATTTTCAGCCTCAATTCTCATGTTTACATCACAGTTTCTTTGTCCCTTGCAGATCAACATTTTCTGAAGAAGTCCTGCCGAAATCCTTTCATGCAATTTTATCTTGTTTTTCTTAATTGTTTTTGTTTCTCATTGATTTTCTTTCATGCATGTTTTCTATATAGCTTTATGAAATTAAAGCAACACCACTAACTTACACTGTTAAAACACTCAAAATTCAGTGCCTGACCCTGTACATTTTGTTGAAACGCATTACAATGCTCAAAGAGAGAATGTATTCTCTCTGGAAAATATTTGGAAGTTTCTGCATTTTTCACACCCTTCAGATACATTACTAAATGACAGCATTGGTTTCATAGTACTGCAAGAAGAAGGCAGGTGGAAAAGAAACGCCAGTCACCATCCTACCACAAGTCTAGGAGTGAAAAAACATGCTGAGCAAACGGCATAAAAATATTTGTAAATAGCCATAAATGTAGAAGTAATAGCTGCTTTTGAGGAGCTGGCAAGGCATAAAGCACCTCTAGATGTCACTGTAACATTGTAAAATACAGATGAGAGCACACTAGAAAGCTGTCAGGATGGTTTATACTCTCTTGATTCCTGGTAACTGTCTCAGTCAGCCTGTAATAAATTGTTGGATGGTTAAAAATGTTGTTACCAGATGTGGATTAACAGCAAACATCTTTTTGAATTGTTTTCAGTAAGACTGCTACTAAATTTTTTTGTAGAATATTAAATATTTCTAGTTTTCCTTTAACGAAACTAGTTTTAACAGCAAAAGCTAGTACAGGGTAACAACTCATCTCTGGAAGGCTTTTAAGTCCCTGTGGCTCAATCTTGATATTTTCTGGGCAGATCACAGATTACTTGGACTCACCAGATAAATCAGGCTGCAGATTCATGAGGAACAATGCAACGTGAACACTCTGTTTGCTGACTGATGTATCTATTGCCTTTTCCACAGGTCGTCAAAGAAAAGTTGCATTTGAGTGAGACGGGAACAAATTCAATACAAGAGGAGGAACCACCAGATTCAGCAGGTTAGAATGTTTTTTCTTCTGATCAGTTTCAAGTTCCTAAGAGCAAAGCTGCAAAGTCCTTACTACTTCACTAATAACCCTCACAGAAGTCACCTGTGCTCTCCTGAGCAGCTCTTGCTTGGGTTCTGTATGTGCTCACCAGCATACATGAGAATAGTACAAGAAACGTTGCCATCACATCCAAGCAACTTGTCATGTGTCTATGTGTAAAGAATTATGGAATCATAGAATCATTAAGGTTGGAAAAGACCTCAAAGATCATGTCTAAGCACTGACCCATCACCACCATGCCCACTAACCATATCAGTGCCACGGAGGGCCACGAAGATGGTGAAGGGCCTGGAGCATCTCCCCTATGAGGAAAGGCTGAGTGAACTGGGTCTGTTCAGCCTTGAGAAAAGGAGACTGAGAGGGGACCTGATCCAGGTCTATAAATATCTAAGGTGTGGGGGGCAGAATGGCGAGGCCGGACTCTTTTCAGTGGTGAATGGAGACAGGACAAGGGGAAATGGCCAGAAACTGGAGCATAGGAAGTTCCGCACAAACATGCGCAAGAACTTCTTTACAGTGAGGTGACGGAGCACTGGAACAGGCTGCCCAGGGAGGTGGTGGAGTCTCCTTCTCTGGAGATGTTCAAGACCTGCCTGGATGCCTACCTGTGCTACCTGGTGTAGGGAACCTGCTTTGGCAGGGGGGTTGGACTCGATGATCTCTGGAGGTCCCTTCCAACCCCTACAATTCTGTGATTCTGTGATTCTGTGATCTGCATATTTCTTGAACACCTTCAGGGACAGCAATTCCACTGCCTCCCTGGCAGCTTGTTCCAATGCATTACTACTCCTTCAGAGAAGAAACTGTTCCTAATATCTAACCTGAACCTCCCCTGATACAAATTGATGCCGTTACCACTGGTCCTATTGCACCTGAGAGAAGAGAGCAATCATCTCACCTCACTGCAACCTCCCTTCAGGTAGTTGTAATGAGTGGTTAGGTCTCCTCTGGGCTTCCTCTTCTCCAGACTAAACAAGCCCAGTTTCTTCAGTCACACCTTGTAAGACTTCTGCTTAAGACTCCTCACCAGCTTTGTTGGTGGTAAACTGCTCAAAGAAAAGCTTTGCACCAGGGTCTCATTAACCTGACAATAAATTTGAATGAGAAAAGCTTTTTCCACTGCTGTTTCTGAAAGGCCCGTAATGTCCCAGTCCTGAAGAAAAAGAACTCTGCTGAAGCTTAGGGCTTTTCATTCACTTAGGAGATATTTACACTGAAGTTGAAAGTAGGAGAAGAAAGCAAGTGCTTTGTTCAAAATACAGTGGAGGTGATTTTGAGCATGCAAGTTCCACTTCAGTATGGTTACTGACTCTAAGAGAACTACTGACATATTTCTTGCTGATCTATTTGCTTTCAGAGGGGGTCATCCAGAACAGCCAGTCCTGTTGTCACGAAGAAGAAGTCGATAAGCTCAACAAGGAAAATGCTGAGAGGGAAAGTACTGTTCTGCTACAGATGGATTCCCCTGAATCTCATTCTGAAGAAACAGAGGAGAAAGAAGAAATAGCTTTTGAAAGCTGCTACAGGAGAAGCTCAGTACAGGAAGAAGATGATGCTGTTGATGATGCTTGTCAAAGGATAACTGGGCAGGAGATAGAGAGGGAGTCAGCAGATGAGGAGACGAAGGAGGAGCAACAGGTGCCTGGAGTTGAAGAACAAGAAGAGAGGATGAATGAAGGGGAGGGAGTTGATAGTAATAATGAAAAAGAGGATGAGGAGCCATCAGCATCTTCCCAAAATGAAGATGAGGCAGGACAAAGCCATGATCAAGAGGCACCGGAGGGAACGTAAGGCCTGAAACTCAGACTGTACATTCTTAAGAGACCCTTGCTTTAGAAAAACATGTAGTTCAGGTTTTAAGTCAAAGTAACTAATTAGTATAAATACTAGTGAAAATCCAGTCCGATACAAAAATATAAAATGACTTCATCTGTCTCTAATCTCTAAGCCTGAAAACAGACAGTCAATCTACCATACATAGTACTGGCAGTGTATTTTGGTTACTTGCTTAGAAGAAAGAATATGAGAACTGTTATATGCTATTCTTAATCACTGATGAGCATTCTCCCACTCTGTAATGTTTATTTATTGCAGCATCATAGAACATATGAACAAATTAAGGTTAGGTTAGGCCACGTACCATTTGCAAATTAAGTTACTACAAAATTTAGTAACTTGATAATATAAGATTGTAAAACTTTGCCCAGAAAATTATACTGATAAACTTGTTTACTGTAGTTCTTTCTGTGCTGCATTTATATTTAGCCTTTCAGGGATAAACCAGTTTAAGCTCTCAGGAACCTATAAGAACAGAGTGAAATCCCAGTCCTCTCCCATTGCTTTAAAGGTGAGATTGATAGTCAAATGTTAAAATCAGTAGAACTCAAGTAGGCATTTCAGTAATGAAGAATCATTCTGCTGTCACGATTACTTAGAGGTCATTTTATTCCTCTGAGTATTAAATCAGTTTATTTAACCGTATTATTTTACACCATTAAGCAAAATAGCCTAATGTTTGAATGCAGTATGTGTGTAGGTGTTTTTCACATATATTTCTAAATTTTCTCTGCTTTAAGTGTACCTTGCTCTAATGCCATGTTTTGTCTTTGCAGGTGTAAAGGCTGTGGAAAAGGTACAGGAAATCATAGTTCAGTCACTGAGCAGATCTGCCAATTTCAGTATATGGTAGCAGTAAGCTTTGAGTGAATGTTGAAGGCCTAATCAAAGATGACAGCAGAGCAAGCTACATGCAGAAAGCTCTGATGGAATGTGTAAAACTAAAATAAAATCCAGGGCTTGTACAGGAAGTATTTCTAAAGGCAAAACCAAACCATTTTATTTCACCAGTATTGAGGGTGATGGCCAGACAGAGACATCCATAGAGAATAATGACATAAAGAACATAATTAGTAAGAGGAAAAAGAAGTGGATGGTAGCCCTAATGGGAAGCAGTTGTTCACAGACCACATCGTAAAGTGATGGGAAATACGATAGTTCTGTTTGCTTCCATCGAATTCTACCAACATTTATTACCTGAGGAGTTGGCTTATCTTTTCATAGAGGCTTCTGTTCTTACAGAAATTAGTCACAACTGATTTGCTTTTGCCACAACTACTCCACTGATACTATCCTCTTTCCCTCTTCTTTTGACAACAGAGAGCTAGAACTTTCAGACATGGAGTAGTGGGAGGAATTACATAATGTGTGACAAAACTGGTTGACTTGTGGAGGTGCTAAGAACATATATTAACCACAGTGTTCTGGATGTAGTCTGAAAAACCAGGTTCCTCACATCAGTGCTATAGCAATCTGAAGTGAGAACTGTAGTCTATAAAATAAAGAAGTACAAACTGCTGTGTGGAGGCCTGACTGATGCTGCTGAAAAGTTGTATAAATGGTGTTCAGGCACTGAATTCTAAAGCAGAGTGAAGCAGAGATTTCTAACACCTAACACTTCTGCTTGAGAATTTCAGTGTTTATCCCTGCACATAAATGATGAAACATGAGGTGATGGCCTGATGGGTTTGAAGATGTTTACATATGCATGCACACACATAGGAAACAATGGTTTTCTTTGCTTTGGGAATGCAGGGTGGAGTGGGAAAAGGAAACAATGAATTAAATATCTGTGTGAGGCTCTTAGATTCTCTAACAAAAACAGGAGATAGTAAGCTAAAAATCTCAACTCATAAGCTGTCCTGAGCTCTGGCAGATTGTTAGGGATGGCATTAAAGTTAGTGTCTCTCTCTTGGAGTGTCTTTCATCTGTAACAGCAAGACATTCTTGAATAGTGAGAAATCCCCTTTGGTATGCAGTAAAACAAAAATGGAGGATTTGTCACTGAAAAAATCTTGAAGGCTAAAACTCAGACACATGATCTGACTTCTTCAAATGAGCACTTTCTTGCTCAAAGTTTGGTAACATTTGAGAGTTGAGCATTCAAAACCCCATATTCTTCCACCAGTTACATGCTGGGGCCCTTGGAGTTTGTGTCATTAGGGTCAAATTCTGCCTTTAGGGTAGATGCTCGTTTGGTAACATACAAAGGCTCATACTTAAGGACGTGCAATTCAAGCTCTGCAGAATCACAAGTAGGTGGCAAACCTCCTGGAGCCCCAGCTTTTCACAATTTCTTGACCATGAACTAACTTCCTGTCCATGTAAGTTATTAACAGTCAAAAAAATCTAGGTACATAGCTGGTATCCTGGATATTTGCTTTCAATAAGGACACTCCACTGTTACATTAATGAGTGTTCCTGCCAGCTACATGCTGTCATGTTTTTCTTTTCTTTTGTTTGTGGTTTTAATCATTTTCATTGGAGGAATGAATGGTTTTCAAATTGCTCAACAAGCCCCTCACAAAAAAGACCTGGCATTCCAGACCAGAGAGCTCATGTTAAAGCACTGTGGCTCTAACCTTCCCAACCAGCTGAAGTATTTGTCACCTTGGTCAGCCAAAGGTCACTCCTGGCAATATCAATCAAGTGAAAAACAACATGAGTATGAATTTGGAATCGCAATGTCTTGCAAAATATTCAAAGAGAAATCACGCATGCAGGGCTGGTATGCAGCAGAGATTTTGACATGAGGATGGCAGAACATCCCACGTGCGAAGGTCTTGACAATAATAATGGAGATCTACATTTGTGCCAAAACTCTGTGTCTGTGCTCCAAGGAAGCCATCTCTTTACTGTGTCCCTCTTTTCCATTTACCTGTCTTCTTTTTTAAGCATAGCAGCTCTTCAAAGCAGCGTGTGTCTACCACATTGGACCCTGAGCCATATTGGAAACCCCAAGTGTTACATGACAGGATGAAACTCCATTGTGTGCACAAGCAGTTAATGAAATCTCTAAAGGCAGACACAATGCTGGGGAGCATGACAAATTGTATCAATCAGATGGCCAGTAGAGAAGGGATTCTTTGCTATGAACACCATAAGAAGGGAGATGACATCATCTAGCTGGGCTTACAGAAAAGCTCTGTATCTCTTTCTATACCAGGAGAGAATTACAGTATATACTCATCTATTAACAGTTCCTGGGAAATTAAAAATTGGATAGGAAAAAAATCCTTCCAAATCTTCTAAACAAACTGTCTTGTGGGCATGAAGCTGCACTGGCTTAGTCTAGCAGTCTAGCCTCATGCTGCTCCTGACACTCACAGTGCAGAAGGTGCTAAGTAAGTAGAGGAGTACTTGTCTTAGTGTAGCTCCCCTGTGACACTGTGCTTTCTGAACCAGAGCTCTGGAGTAAAACCCTTTCTGAATAACGGAGAGACATATCTATTTAACTTACAGTAAGATTATTCAGTTCTTAAATTAATTTATCTTGGGGAAAGAAGGACTGAAATATATGAGGCAGACAAGCACTGCATGTGACCACTCATACGCTGTTTTTTCTTCTGTAGATGATACTTCTACTCCACCAGCACCATTTGATCACCGGATTGTTTCAGCCAAAACGGTGGGCATCAGCAGTTATTATAATGTCAACAGGAATGAAATCTTGGGAGGGTAAGTCAAGTGAATCCAATCAACATGTAAAGCAAGGCAAGAGTTTACAGCCAGGAACCCCAGGAGGTAAATGGAAGCATCGTGCCTCCCTAGAAAGGCTAAGCTTTAACAGTACTTAGAGAGGAATTAAAGCAGGAGGTTGGTTTTACTGTGTGAGTGAATTTTGGCTGAAGGTTTGGCACCACCAAAGTTGGTTTGTATTTGGTTTTGTTCTAGGTCAGCCATCTGCCCTCAGGTTTTGTCATGATGCTTCTAGGATGTGACAGTACTTCACATTGAAGCCAGTGGGATATAGAAACACGTTGTAGCCTTCTTTCCCTCAGCATAGCCCATCCCTGAAAATACCTGAATGTTTTCAGGTAGACCAGCAAGCTAATCTGACAGACCAAGTGGCTAGATCTTTCATGCTGCCATAGTTTATGATAGAGTGATATTGTCATTTCTGGTAGCAACATGATCTTGAGAAGGCTTTGTTTCATCGTGAAATCGCAGCCTTCCCTTGGGGTAGAATGATGAGGTGGGGAGAGGCAGATCGTGCTCATAAGTGAGTTATTATGAGTTATTATCATTACAGTATGTATTTCTGTTAGCTTGCCTTGGATACCTCATCACACATTAAAAGATGTTAGAAGTAATGAAGTGAATGTTAATGAATCATAAAAGTGGAATAATATCAACTGCAACAGTGTAATTTTGGTGTGCCTAAATGAGCGGTAGCAAGTCTGATTTACACAATAAAATAGCAGCAATAGAGCAATTGAAATGGAACTCAGTAGGGAGAGGAATTTTTCCATTCTGTATAACTTAGTTTGCACACAAGGGCAATGCAACTGTATGGTTTGATTAATATTTTTTCCCTTTTTTCCCCAGAGGACGATTTGGTATGGTACACAAATGTGAAGAGAAAGCAACAGGTCTCAAGCTAGCAGCCAAAATTATAAAAGCCAGAGGAGATAAAGAGAAGGTTGGTAGTCTTTGTTCATTAATGGACCCCACACTCTTCTTCACTTACTCAACAGACCATGTCCAAGTGGCTCACAAGCCATCATAGTCATAAAACCTGCTGACTTACCATTGGCTCTGCAGCTGTTTCTCTGCTCATCAAAGTCTTCTTTCTGGCTTTTCTCATATTTTTTGTTTTACTTTTTTAATCACAACTTTTCCTACTTTCTTTTCATATCTTTGTGTTTCTTTGGCTTTCCTTTTTTTTTTTTTTTTTTTTTTTTTTTTTTTCCCCCTACTTTTAATTCTATTAGTGTTTTTTCTGATGGTCTGGCCTGTGAAATAGCATACTTCCCCCTCCACCCCACTCTATCCTTACTGCAATGAATTCATGTCACTGTGAGGTATGCTGATTACAGGCTTGATCTGGGCTCCTGACATCAACACAAATATAAATGAGAAGAATTAGTCTGACCTGTTTTGCAAAACTCATGGCCATCTGGGGCTTGCTTTCATAAGAAAGACATTCCTAGCATCTTTTCTGTGACAGCTGTGTCATTAATGGTAGTCAAGGGTGGGATCTGTCTCAGCTATCTGTGGTTCTCTAAGGTATAGCTGTCTGTGGGTAAGCTGATCATCAAGAATCCCATTATAGTCAGAAGAGAGATTGGCACCATTGGATAATGACTCAGCCACCCTAAACTGCACATTTAAAATAGCTGGACTGAACAGAGGCATCTGTCTTTCCCCCCTGATTGAAGAGGGAGGTTTTGAGGACTGTCCTGGACTTTTCTTAGACAGATTACTGCTTGCCCATGTGTGCTTTTGCTCTTTTTTTCCCCTCCCTTTTTCTCCTTGCGTATTACTGAAGCAGCCCCCTACTCAAGCTATGAGTTCAGTCTAGTGCTTATTGCCTTGATGTCTACCATTGCAGGAACAATCAAAGGCAAACCTTGGATTTGCTTAACACAAGTGAAAACATGAAGATAACGTAGATATCTGGTCCAAACTGAATTTGTCTTTGTCCATGTGCCTGTCTTAGAAAATAAAAAACAACAAAAAAACAACCTCTGAAACAATATTCATGATTCTTTACAGAATGAAGTAAAGAATGAAATCAGTGTCATGAACCAGTTGAATCATGTGAATCTTATCCAGCTCTATGACGCCTTTGAGTCAAAAAATGACATTGTCCTAGTCATGGAATAGTAAGTGTGTTCTTCCAATTTCTGTCTTTACCACTTTTGCTAGAACTGTTTGTTTCCTTCTTATTTTGCCCGAAATTAGAAATAAAGCTTTTAGCAGGTAGAAAGGACATATGAAATATGTTCCCAGGAACAATAATTGGGAAAAAAATAAGAAAAAGTGCCATGGAGCCATTTATGTATTTTTTTCAAGTGATGCTCCACACTCCAGGTGATGTAAAGCCACTATACCATTTGAGGATAGAGCTGTTATGTAGCTTGTCTTTAATTTCAAATGGTACTTTGTGTCAACTAAGAGACAGGCATCTCAGAATATCTCCACTTCTGTGAGGCAAATGAAAAGACATCTTACAATGAATAGATGCCTACTGTAGATGCTGTGGATGATCTTTTACTGGATGCCTGAATGGATTAACCTGCCTTTTATGCTGGTTTATCAGGCTTATTAGTTTCAAAATAGCTGCCTTAAAAACAAATAGATGTTGCTTCTTTTTCTGGAAGCCAAAAAGGATGCAGCTAATACACTGAAATGTATGGCAGAAGAACTTGACTTTTCTGTATATTCGTAGGTAGTCCCATGGACTTGATTTACACAATTGGTATAACACAAAAGAAGTCAGCATAGATATCAGTCAGTAAGATGGAGGTATTCTGAAATGTAATAAGAAATTAAGAAGTCATTTTCATTGATTTTATGTTGCTTCAAATTGAAATTTTATATCATGTCCCTCTTAAGCTCTGATGGAGAAGACCAAGGATTTAATGCAGATTGTGTAGCATGTTGTCTTGGTTTTCCATGTGATGTCATTAATTCCACTGGTGCAAAATTATGTCCCAAGACAGCATCTCTCAATGAATGGGAGACTAGGTTCTCAAACTTTGAAGAAATTATGGCTAGTATGTATCAGTACCGAGTATGTGGGAAATTCAGATCAGAATACAAGCTCATGTTGTAGACCCCTCTCACTGAACCTGATCGTGAATCCTTAAAATAGTCAACAGTTTAAATTCTATACAATTGTAATTGCATGGGTTTGGATTTGGACTTGAACTTGATGACCTTTTCTCATCTTGATGTCTTTTTCTCATCAGTGTGGAAGGAGGTGAATTATTTGACCGAATAATTGATGAGAACTGCAATTTGACAGAAATGGATACAATCTCATTCATAAAACAGATCTGCGAGGGAATTCAGTACATGCACCAAATGTACATCCTTCACTTGGATCTAAAGGTAGAGAACTTACACGTTTGTTTTGCGCAATGACAGCTGTGGAAATTTTGTTCTTTAATGTTAGGCCATGCCGCTTAGCAGATTCCCATGGCAGAAACAACAAATAACTTTATTCTGCTTTTCTTGAACTGATGTGTATTTACTTCAGCCACATTGAGATCAGTTAAATCACTACAGAAGTAACTTTGATGAGAATCATGGTCATATGTCATCAAGCTACATAGCTCTTGAGTTTTCTGCAGAATGATTTTACAGAAAGCCAGAAAGATATTGGCAACAATATCTTGCTATTTTCATTTTTTCCATTTCCATCTATAAATATTGTGCAAATATTATGTAATTCAGCTGCACAAGATCTCTGTCTTATGCATCGGCCATGGGATAGAAATTAACTCCATTTACACCATGCTGAGGCCAAATACATAAGAAAGTATTTGCTAAATGAAAGTAATAAAAAAAGTGGTTGATGCAAATAATACAGCATCTGTTAGGTTAGACAAAAACTGCCAGTACAGCTGAAAGTACAGAAAAGAGTGATGGATTCTCCACTGAGTATTTTCTTGGCAATCTGAACTATTCAAGTGTATACACAGAAAGTCCCTTCTATCTAAAACCAAATTTACCAACTGCATATTCTTACACTGGCTGACTGCTAATTGCTGTCACACTTAGAAAACAATTTGTAAAGGTATGTTTCAATAGTCTGGACATTCAAGCTGGATCTTCTTTCCTTGAACCAAGTTTTTATTAAATAATAAAATGGAGAAATATGGATTTGAAAGCTAGACTATTAGGTGGATAAAGGATTGGTTGGATACTTGTAGCCAAATGGCTGTTGTGAATGTCTCTATATTCAGATGGAGGGCAGTCACGAGTGGTGTCTCCCAGTGGTCCATTTTGGGGCTGGTGCTCTTTAAGATCTTTATCAATGACAGACAGTGGGATTGAGTGCACCCTCAGCAGGTTTGCTGATGGTACCAAGCTGAGTGGTGCAGTTGACATGATAGAAAGCATGGATGCTATCCAGAAGGACCTAGACATGCTCAAAAAGTGGGCACATGAGAACGAGAACTTAATGAGGTTTAACAAACTCAAGTGAAAGGTGTTGCACTTGAATTGCAGCGATTCCAGATATGAGTACAGGCTGGAAGAAGAACTCATTGAGAGCAGCCATACAGAGAAGGACTTGGGGGTCCTGATGGATGAAAAGCTGGATATGAGCCAGCAGTGTTCTCTTGCAGTCTAGAAAGCCAACAGTATCCTAGGCTGCATCAAAAGATGGGTGGCCAGCAAGGGCAAGGGAAGTGATTGTACCCCCTCTGCTCTGCCCTCTTGTGGCCACATCTGGAGTACTGTGTCCAAACCTGCTGCCCCAGCACAATAAGGATGTAGAGTTGTTTGAGCAGGTCCAGAAGAGGGCCACAAAAATGACAGAAGGGCTGGAGCACCTCTCTTTTGAAGAAAATTTGAGGGAGTTGGGCTTGTTTAGCTTGGAGAATGGAAGGAACCAGGGAGACCTCACAACAGCTTTCCAGTACTTGTTGGAGCTTCCAAGCAGGAGGGGAACAGCTGTTTACATGGTCTGATAGCAAAAGGACAAGGGGCAATGGCCTTAAACTAAAAGAGGGGAGATTTAGGTTAGACATGAGGAAGAAATTTTTTACTTAGAGGGTGGTAAGGTGCTGGCATAGGCTGCCCAAAGAGCTGGTGGATTCCTCATCCTTGGAGGCATTCAAAGCCAGGTTGGAGGGGACCCTGGGCAGCTTCATCTAGTGGCTGGAAGCCTTGCCCGTGGAAGGGGGTTGGAACTAGTTGATCTTTAAAGTCCTCTGCAACCTGAACCTTTCTATGATTATATATTTCTTACCTTTATTTAGTCCAGAAATAAAAGGGGATGATGTCTTTAGTTTTACAAATGTCTATAAAGTGCCCATAACGTATTCCTCAGCTTTATAATAAAGCAAAAAGAACTAAAAAGTGCAAAGAGAGTTTTGCCTTTGTTGAGATTTTTATTACAGCTGCTGTTTTTGGCTTGTAATAACTGAGTTGTTAGCATTTATATTATTGCACATGTTAAGCAAGTGAACAGATGATTATTGGGATCTGTTTCAGTTGCTTTATCAATTCACTTGCTTTACCAGACTTACTTTTCTCTTTCTTTATAAACATCTAGATACCAAAAACCTATCAAGAACTTCACATAAGTCTTTGAGACATATTAATTATGTTCTTGGAGTTGGCACAGTTTTTATATGTCATACTGCTGACAAAGAGGCCCATATACAATGTAATGAATTCTTCTCAGAGACCTTTCTTTTCATGTGCTGGCCAGTTACAGATTCTCCATTCTATTTTGCTTACTCACAGGTTGTTGTCAGTAACAAATGAGTTTGAGGAAGAATGTTTGAAATTGAAAGAAATTCATCTTGACCATACTCATCCGTGACCACAGAAACTATGGACATATGATGCTTACAAGTCCTGAGTTTAAAATGAATTAGTAATGGTGATGAAGGTTAACTAATGTTTTAAGTGTTGTGGGCTGTTTTATTTCAAAGAGGACTTAACGAGCAACGAGACAAAGTATATAAAACTATAAAACTGCTGGCAGTGAATTTATTTTAGATATTTACATTTTGAAGACAACTGGCCAGATTCTATCCTCGCTCCCTTCTGTTTGATTTGTGAGTAATTTAGTAAGCAATGGATTCCTTGCAGGGGAATGAAGAACAATTGGCCCTGTGAAAATCCAGAGGGATTTAACCTGTGAATCCCACCTTCTGGTAAAATATGTGATGAAAACATAAAGCTGCTGTAACTAGCATAATATGTCAGTGCTCAATCAGACAGTTACTGCCAGAACATCTATGAATACAGAAACTTACAGAAATAAATTTCAAAGCCCAGTAAATTTGTTTAAAAAAACCTTTTAAAAATTCCAGAGTCAGCTTGCTAAGGTCTGCAAAATCACCATGCCAGCATCCTGAAACCTCACTATTGAAGTCTACGTTCTCTGTCTCATTCCCCCAACAAGTTCTTTATCTGAACTGCTGCCTTATGTCAAATTGAAAAGCAGAAAAAGAAGCAGTTATCAAGACACAGAACACTCAACCTCAACTGCTGTGTGATAGAAGAGGTTATACCCATACTGAGAAATCTGATCAGGGTGGAAAGAAAAAGGTGCTTATGGCATGTTTACCTTTTTCTCAGTGGTTTTCACCCGATGGTTTTCTAAAAGCTCTGTTTGTCATGCTTGTTTCTTACTGAAGTCTTTTCTGGTTTTTCTTGGTAGCCTGAGAATATCCTGTGCGTGAACCGATCTGCAAATCAAATAAAAATTATTGATTTTGGATTGGCAAGAAGGTATGTGCCTATGTTACTAATAATTGTAAATGAATGAGGAAAGAAGCAAAGAAATATTACTTCTTTGCAGTTACATCTTTGACCCATAATGGTCTCCTACTGCTCTTGTGACAAGTTGGTTCCAAAGACATCTTTTAATAAGGAATGTTTGAAGTTGGGTAAAAAAAGTTTTGTTCTGAAGCCTTTTTTCAGATTGAAGGTTCAAAGAGTCTGATTCTAACAAATAAGTATACTGGTACAGCTGAAGTCGACAAAATCTGTGGAACCCCTTGTCTGTTCTATTCTCAAAAGAGAGCATGAGAGAACATCATGGTCTTTTACAGTACAATTCATGCTTTATCACTTTCTTGTTTAAGCAGATACTATAACTTATGATATGGGGAAGATTCCAAAGCACGATAACAGCTGCCCTAAGTCATCTTTGAAATCTGAATTTCTTACTTTGTTTAGTTGTTGAGTTTTATCCTGAAGTATGATATAAGCTTACAAATGTTTTTCATTCCTATGTATGGGTATTTATTTTTAATTTGTACTTCTATCTGTTCCTTGATCTCCTCCTGAATGTCACATACGCTTCTGACATCCCACTAAGTGCTGGGCAACTTACGATATAACTTTAGAGCTATAATGTTCTTTTATTAATGTTTCCTTTGACTAGATATAAACCCAGGGAAAAACTTCGAGTAAACTTTGGAACTCCTGAATTTCTTGCTCCTGAAGTTGTGAATTATGAATTTGTCTCCTTTCCTACAGACATGTGGAGTGTAGGAGTCATTGCTTACATGCTGTAAGTACGATTCGATCTGCTTTGTAAGCTGTTTTCAGGTTATCTGTGTCAGTCATCCAAATTTGTTGTTATTTGGAAGACTGACAAAATCTGTACACAAAGTAGAAAATGTAGGCCTCTTTCCAAATTCCATATTCAGGAATCTGACCCTTTTTCCAATCACCATTAACTTTCCTTCTTTGTTTCACTACACTATCTATCTTGAGCAATTAGGTATTAGACTAGAATACTGTGGACCTCTTGATAAACTCTCAGTATATGTCTGCAAAAGCAGTCAGAGATCTGGAAAATATGACCCTCAATGAAAGACTGTAATGTTTATTTTGTTAGGGAGAAAAAGTGATTATTTAAAAATGTAAATAGAGAAAATGGGAATGGTCTGGAAATTTTCTTAGATAATAAAAATTCTAAGGTGGGCCAGAAGTAACAGAACAATCATAGATGTCACATCAGAGATCATGTACAGGAAGGGAAAGAGACAGAAAGACTTAGCATATTCCTCTTTACTTAGCCTCAGTGGATTGTCTCCTTTTTTGGGTGATGATGACAACGAGACTCTCAACAATATCCTGGCCTGCAGCTGGGATTTTGAAGATGAGGAGTTTCAAGATGTTTCTGAGCAAGCCAAAGATTTCATCTCTAAGCTTCTCATCAAGGAAAAATGGTACGTGATTCCTGGATCTTGGAAACATGTGCTCGCTACCATTGTGTCCTACTTGTATCACTTGTACTGTTCCACTGCAGAATTATCATTACAGATCAAAGTTTTTAATGTCCATGTAAAATATTTTTATATGCCATTTTATTGATGTTCACTGAGTCCATAACATTCTCTGAAGTTACCTGAATGAGTTTTTGCTAGTGGTTTCCTGGACTAGCTGCCATCTGGCATAAAATATCCTAAAATGACAGCACTGCATGACAGCAGAACACAAGATCTGTAGGAGATAATTGTTGAATTATGAAATTCTAGGAAAAATACTTAATAGGATTCTGTTTTTCTTTTAGCTGGAGAATAAGTGCAACTGCTGCCTTAAAACACCCATGGTTATCAGACCACAAGCTCCACTGCAGGCTCCAGGTTCCTAAATTTAAATATATTTGTGCATTGTAGATCTGCTGTTGCCTGTCTCTGTTGGCATATCATTATTTGCTTTGAAATTTCCCTCATCTGTTTTTGAGTCCACCTTGCTGCTGAATTTCTTGCCAGTGTAAGCCATGTGTGTTCCCTCTCTTTTACTTAGCTGCTGTAATTAATTTAACTGATAAGTGTGGGAGATTCAGACTGTTGATGAGCTCCTCGTTGGATGAATCTGAGTCCACGCTGTAGTTCAGTGGTTCAAGGGAGGGATCACTTTAATCACCTTCCTGATTTTTTGCAGCATTGAGTGCAATATTCACTACCTCCTTTGCAGATAAAGCAAATCTAGGTTAAGTAAAATGACTTCTGTAATGCCTAGGATCATAGAATCATAGAAGCATAGAATGGCCTGGGTTGAAAAGGATCACAATGACCACCTGTTTTCAACCCCCTTGCTAACTGCAGGTTCACCAACCACCAGACCAGGCTGCCCAGAGCCACATCCAGCCTGGCCTTGAATGCCTCCAGGGATGGGGCATCCACAACCTCTCTGGGCAATCTGTTCCAGTGCCTCACCACCCTCTGAGTGAAAAACTTCCTCTTAGTAGCTAACCTAAACCTCCCCTGTCTCAGTTTAAAACCATTCTCCCTTGTCCTATCACTAAGACTATTATTAATTATTAAGATGATCTTCATGAAATAAGATGAAAGATTGTGATGATAGTAAAATAGTAGTAGATCTGCTGATGAGAGGTGTGGGTTTGGGGCGGGTATGGACTGAGTAGTGTCCTGACAAGGCTGTCTTTGAGAGACATTCCTGTTACACAAAGTAAGGGTAACCAGAAGTAGTGTAAAATGGGAAATAATAATAATCAAATAAATTGTTATAACTTTAATTGAAATTTAATTTTCTTGGTCATTTCCCTGAACAGCAATGCCCTTGAGCTTATTAGATTTTTTTATTGTGAGCACAGACAGTAAAAATAAGAGAGTTTGTTTCATAAAACAGCATTCAGTCCCTTTAGTCTGGCTCCAGAGAGGCTCTGACTGTTGTAACCTGGGGAACGGGCTGTCTTTTCCAAATGCTGCAAGAGCACAGGCTGCTCACCTGGCATGCTGCTTCCTATCACCAATTTTCTTTTAAGAAGAGCCTGCCCCTAACAGGAACCTTACAATTCATGCACCCTTTTGGCTCCTCCCCTAGAAACTTTTTGTTCATGCCATTTGCACTTTCCAAACCAGCTTCACTAAAGATGCTGATGTTGCAGCGTTTTAGCATTACTTTAACTAGAGCTGAGATGTGACTGATCTTCAATTAATGCTTCAGTAATGGCAGCTGTCTTTCTTTTTTTGTTTTTCTCTAGAAGAAAGTTAAAGGAGACTGTGATTCCCGGGCACCTTCAGATCCATAATCTCTGAAAGAGCTGCAAAACAGAAGGTTTGTTTGGGGTCCTAAGTGTTGTGTTTTTTTTTTTAATAAATAAATACCACTGCACAGTGGAAGTGATCAGTGGGAAGCCGAAAACCAAGCACAGTTCTAACTATACATTCCAACATGTATTCACCACTATCCTCACTGTTGTTTGGAAAGCATTCAAAATGTAAGCTGGCTCTATCACTTGTACCAACTCACAGCAGTGTACAAAAACCCTTGTATATGTGAAGCCATATGTGCTGCAAACCTCATGGGGCAATATTTCACCCAATAACTTCTCAGTGTTGAAAGCTTTCAGATTTTCATGCTGTGGTTAGAGTATGGTTTTTAAAGGGTAGGAATATGAAAAGTAATTACTTTTTAGTAAAGGCATGGGCCAGACCCTCAGGGCAGTTCCAGTAACTGTACTGAAAGGAAAGTGAGGTGTTCCCTAAAAGAATTTGCTCCACACTTCTAAGGACCTAATTCTGACAGGACACTCCTCTGCCCTTTCAGCCCATAGCATCCAAAACAGTGTTGACAGAGCATCTCTTTCAATCTCCCCATCTTTGCCTTTTCATTAACAAAAACTTCATTAGTGGTTCTCAGTCTGGCTTGGCTGCCTCCTCCATAGTGGCCAGGGAGATTCAAGCCCACTCTCATGTTCCGTCTCTACTCTTTGACCAAAGCATACTTGCTCAGCCACTTTGAAATCCAGCTATCTATCTCAGGAGCTGCTGTATCTCCATAAACCAGTATAGCAATTCCCAGTCCTTTTACAAAATACCACAGATGTTAGTGACTCTGCTGAAGGACCATGGGAACCACTCAGATGTTCTGAGGACATCTCTGGGCAAAACTCAGTGGGGTCAAGATGTGGACAAGGCTGAGAACACACACACTGTATAACCACTTCCTCTTAGTCATGCATCACGAGTAGCAACCAGGGTACCAAAATAAAAGTAGCGCATTTTTCACTGCTTGCAAGTCTTTAGTGCTACCATCATCCACTGTCTGCTTGATAAGGCAAGGGATGCGATGGATTTTATTCGCAGTAGATTTTGTCCAGAAACATATGAAAAAGATTGATTGTTGTGAGAGGTTGAATTTTTCATCCTGTTTTGACTAACCAGAGGATTTAAATCCAGGTACTATACAGTGTGATCTAATCCCACACAAATTAATGAACTTTAAATGAGCAATTCTGGGTACATGAAGTTGTCTTTCCATGGTACACTGGAGGTCAGTGAGGACTAAGGTACCATTATTATCTCCTGCTTGCCATATGAAGCCACGTAACTGTCTGATACGTAACATCTCAGCTTCACCTCCTGCAATGGGAATCCATTGGGAATAAATTTTCTTTGTGGTCCTCAGCATTCATCCCCACTTCACTGGTGCTGGAAGAGGTTACATGAAATTTTGGTCCAATCACTTGTGTACTTCTATGCAGTACATTTCAAAAGAGGTTTTCTTGACCTGTTGCAAGACAGGTTTTGTCTGTATCTACCATTTCAAGTTACTGTCTGCACAGCAACCAAATACTAAAAACGCACCAATCCAGGAAGCGCTGTATTACACACATTTCCATTGGAACCAACATCAACTCTGAGATAAATTGACTGCTCAACAGCAGTCAAAACTGTTTGGTAATAAACCTTTTATTGCTTTGTAGCATAGTAACTCACCCATGACGTAACATGGAGGGAAACCTCGTTTTGGCTTTTGCAGTGTTGTTTCCTCTGTGTGTTTATTTCTATTTGGAGCTTATTTAAGCTTGCTTTGAGTGGATCTAGTCCTGCTTTGTTTTTGAAGCTATTTTTATCAAGCAAGTAGTGTGGTTACCACATTTACCCCAAAACAATACACCCAAGTGCCAGCTGATTTAGACCTGGCATCATAAGTGCTTGCAGTGGTAACAAATAAACGGAGAGGTATGCACTCTCCCTTTCCATGCTGGGGTGTGTACAGCAAGAGGAACAAAAGCAGAGTAAATGTGTTTCATGGGAGACATCCAGGAGCTGTTCTCCACCTAACAGAGAAGGCCTTGTCTTTTTAGTGTTCTATAAAACATCTCACAAATAAGATGTTTGCAAGAGCCCATTTTAAACAAGTAATCAAGAATCTTGTAAACAAGAATCTTCAGCACTGCTTCAGCACCTCTTTTCCTTAAGCACAAAGAAACCACCGAGTGGTTGTCTTAGAATGCTTAACCAAATAAAAAATGTATACTGCTGAAGTAACTGGATTCTTCTTTTGTTTGTTTTGCAGAAAAGCTGCTGTGTGGTTACTGCTGCTAAGAGATTGGAAAATATCAGCAGGCTTGGTGCTTTACCTCCCTGCCATGACTGAGTCTTTTACTAAATGGACCAACAGCACTTTTGCTGCAGGATAAATCCCAGAATCTCTGAGCTGCTGCTTCTCTATTCAGCTTTCAAAAGAAGGAGAGTATTTTTCTATTAAGAAGTTGTTTCTTCTGGAGCTCCATGTTCTCCATGTCCAGGAGTGCCACATTTGCTCAGTTTCATAACAACGTTTTTTCTATTTTGTCCTCCACTCTCATTTAATTATCAAATGCTCCTTAAGGTTCAAATTACCAGGTTAAGTTGTCTGTTTCTTGTCAGCCAAGAAGACAGCTTGGCACTTTGTTATCTGTGTAGGCAAGGCTGTTTGACACTGGAATCAAATCATAAAAACACACACACACAAAAAAACCAACCAAACAAACAAAAAACAAAAAAAGTCAATTTAAAGCTGCATAATGTAGAAGATTTGAAGTTTATGAGCTAAGGAATTGCTCAACTTAAAGCCATGATAATTTAATACCAAGAGAAGTGAGAATTGAGGCTTTCCTTGCAGATAGGCAAATTTGCTACAACCATAATACATTTTATGATTTTTTAGCCTGGTGAATTACTGTTCATTTTAAATACACTTGGATTAATTCCATGAGAAAGAAAAGAAGGCACTATTCAGTCTTGCCCAAGCAGACTCTCTTCTCTGCTTTGCAAGTTATTTTAACAGAAGCTGACTTCACACCAGTGACTTTCCTTATTGCTAAGAACTGATTAAGAATATTGGCAAAGAGAGTCAGTCTTCTGCTCATTATAAGCCCTGTTTTTTCTAAAGATTTCTTTTCTCTCTTTTTTATCTTACTCCCAAGCCTTTCTAAGTAAGGAGTCAGAACAGCTGAATTCTGATACTGTTTGAATATGGTTCTTTATTAAGTGAACCTCAGTCTTACTTGCTTAGGCTGTGAGGTTGGAATGAGACTTATACCCTGCTGTATATGACTGCCTGGTTTCAGATCTACACACATAGCAAGTATTTTATTCCATGATGCTGACATATTGCAGTGCCTTTAGTTTTTCTTTGATTAATCCAGTTCTGTTCAAACTACAGATTAACATAGTTATCTCTATATATTTAATTATATATTTCATACATGTTTATATTTATGTCTTTTATTAAAGGGGATCAACATGAAGACAAAACCGAACAGCATTATTCATTACCACCCAATGAATTATTTTCACACCTTTGTCCTTTCTGAATAGCACTCACAAATGAAATAAAAGGGCCCACTAATGGGACATTGTGGCCATGACATTATCTACAGCCAGTTCAATCCAATGTTTTAAAGCCATCGTGGTAGATCTATTAAGACTGCTTCTGTAAGCCAATAGGGCTTCTTACAGCTCTGAAATCTGAGAAATATTGATGTGTTGTAATAGCTGTGAATAGATGAGAACCATTACTACAATCACACAGTGATTTGCCATGTAACTGTGATACCACGTAGAGCACTGCCACCTTAAAATCCTTATCTGTAGTCTTAACTGAAGTAAGCTTTGACTAGCAGAAATGGAAGTTTTTCTGGGAAAGCAGCTCTTGAGCAGCCTCAAAGCAAGAAAACCAAAATATAACCTTTAGGTAGAAGCTAGGATGCTTTATCTTTAGTCACCATTCATGTTTCCCTGTGCAAAATGAATAGAAAACCTACATTTCTGTTAGGGCTGGAGTTCCCATTCCTATCTGACTACCTTCAAAATACTGTTAGCTTTTTGTACAGTAAAAAAGTTAATGATCAGTCTCAAATACAGCTGGCTAACTCTGGAATGACAAGATCTCATTGCACACTTTACTGCCAGTATTAAAGATTTGGGGTTTTGTTTTTCCTGTGGTGGACATTTACACGAGTACGAATAAATTGCATGGCATTTTGAATCTCATTAAGTGTACTAAAAACAACAGTGTGACTATAGTCTTATCTGCTTTGTTGTTCAGTTTAATTAAGAAAATTTATCACTTGTGGATCTGTTCAAGTGAGTTGTGTTTCAGAGCTTCATGCCATAAGGATCAGCCCATGTAGAGTCCAATGTGCTGAGTTGGCCACTGATACTCTGGAAGATTATTGAGGAACATGGCCTCTGTTACACACATCCACCAAGGTCAGCTGTACAGCTCTTAGTCAGAAATACACATGTGAAGTATTAGGAAGGATGGAAGAGTTTGACACATTTCAACTGTTTTGAGAAGGAAGACCCTTTCAAAAGGCAAGAGCTTAGGGCAGGGTACTTCTCTACTTCCCTGCTTGTGCAACCGGGCAGGGTGCTAAAATATTCAAGGGATTTATCTTTCAGTCTTACTAACATGGATAATGATGGTTGTATTCTTGAGTCTTACCTATAAGCTGCCCAACATTTCATCCTTGGAATGGCTACTGTAGCAAAGGATGAATGGGACAGTTGGAGGAGGATTGCTTGAGTGAGAGCAGTGATTGAAGGCACTATTTGGTTCCTGGCACAAGCACAGGTCTGCAGGTGTCCATCTGAAGGGAAAACTCCTAAGCATGCTTCCTGCTACTGCCTCAAAATCTCTAGATTGGCAGCACTGAGAAATGCCCATTACTAAAACCATTGTTGCTATTAAGGATACAAAAAATTACACTGCATAATTATCGCTATAGCAGTCTGCCTGCAGTAAATGCTTGTAGATACGCTTGTTCGTAGATTTGCTGGCTGTTGCAATTTTAGTCAAATTATACTTGACATAGCTTCATTTTACTCTCTTTCTAATTTTGTCTCATTGCACTTTGAGCAGCATGCTGTTCTGTGTATGTTGTTGTGTTCCTTAAATACATCTAAAAATAACTAAACACTATTATATTAAGTTATTGTTTTGACACAGCATTATTTATTTTCTACTAGGTAAAAGTCAGTTGGGTTCTATTAATCCAACAGCATCCATGGGAGTTTGCTTATTGATCATTTGTGTTGCATGTTGGTTTAAGATACTTTATGTGGAAACTGTGAATTACCGCGCTTGAGAGCTGGAAGCGAGAAGGGCACTTCATTATCTGTGGTTACTCCATTTAGCCTTGTATCCACAGACAGTCAGAGGTCACCAGGGAACAGAATGATATTAGCAACATCACTGGTAGCAGCGGGGATAAAGTGTCATGATTGAGTTAGGAAAGCAGAATTTCATTTGCCTGACATATTTAAGAATTAGGATGCTGTTATTCCTACTTATGTACATACAGCAGAGAGACTCAGCCAGATAAAATCTCAGTTTTACCCAGGATACACTAGAGTAGTCTAACATTAGCATCAGAGTTACTAACAAGTCTATTTGATTCAAGGTGGATGCCACTGGCTTTCCAACTCTTTTTACACAGTGAACAACCTGTAGGCTATGAAACTGATGAAAACATATACAAAAGAAATATTTCCCTACTATATTTGTGAGAACCTGAAGCCAGTCACTCCTGAGTACCCTCAAAGAGTACGCAGTTGGCAACCTGTGAAATCTGGTCTGGAGTTAACAACAGAAGCTACTTCTTAATTTCTTTTTTTATGTTCCTTCCAATGTCAGAATCTGAATGAAGTGAAAGCCTAAGCTAAGCTCTTCCATAACTTGATTCCTACCAGGAATAACAGTGCAGCTCTACAGAATTAAATAAGGAAAATTTTTGGTCCACATTTTGAGATGCAAGTAGCATGGGAGCTCAGTTTAATCTTCCATCCTCACAGAAAAAAAAAAACCACCCAGAACACCTAATTTGCCCTAGTCTTGACCAGTTAAAATGAAGAGAAACTTAATTTCTTAGCAGTTGAAGAAGTTCAGTGAAAATACATTTTTCTGGTGTGATTAAATTGCTGCAGTAAGTGTTGAGATATTTTAGCATCTTTGGTTTTATGCTGACATTATGAATTACAGGCAGCCTCTTTCAGTAAAACTTCTCCCACCAGGAGGTGTTCTGCTCTTCTCCACCAATAGGGATCTGAAAACATCCCATTCCCTTCACGTGGCCCCACCAGTGAGCACAGCACTTTCCTGCTGGTGAACTCTTAATATGGGATAAGAATTGTAGTTCTGCTTAGTGCCAAAGACACAGCAGTGATGACTGAGCACCGATGCTCCAAACTCCTTCCTGCTTTCCAGGAGCATGCTGCATCTTCACATACTACTTTTATCATCACCAATATATACTTGTCCTCATGTCTTGCGTGAATAAAACTAAATACTGCATGAATCCATTTAGGGACATTAGATTCTTTCACCTTCCATGAAGGCTTAATAGCTGAACAACTAACTACCTGTCTAAAGTATAAGTTGAAGACCTGTAGAGGTAATGCTTTGTAAATACATTTTTAGCCACGTCAGTAGAGTTAGCAAGCACATTCTGGTGTGGCAGAACTACTATTTGTGTACCCCACAGCAACTTCCCTTAGAAGACAGGCATATGACAACTAAATCTCAAAGCACAGGGATTTTCATGCCATCTTCCATATCTGGTTTTGTAGATTAAGTCATGTTTCTCTGGTACATGTTCACTTGGAAAAACCTAAAGCAATCTTGTAAACAGACAACAAGAATAAACGCTGATTTTGTTTACTATAGAGTTTTCGTTTGTGGTATTTAATGTGCTTGTCATTTGCACTAGAAAGTAATGGAAACAGTACCTTTATCCTATGTGCTGGCTATGAAAGTGTATAGATACACAAAGGAAGAGGCAATTCCATTAAAATAAATTTAAGTATCTAAATCAAAGATCTGCTCAGGCTCACATCTTGTACTCACACCTTGCAGCAAAGCCTCTGCTCTCTCTGCAAACAACTAGGGCTTGAAGTACTTCTGGCTGAAGCTGAAATCTTGCTGCAAGTCCTTAGATGAGATCTCTAGAGAGAAAAGAAGAGATTGCTGAAATAGCTAAAAGAGGTTCTTTCTCTCTGAATTGTCATGCATTTCACTGTCAGCTTGTTATTTGGTGTTGCTGTCTGAAGAACACACACACCCCACCTGTGTAAGCTCCATGCAGCCCAGAGATCACTCATCATTTCAGCACAGCTGTACTGGGTAGCCTCTTCCTTTGGCATGTGGGCTACATAAGGAGGTAAGAGATTACTCTTCCAAGTTATTTGACTGTGTAGTCTTTGCATAAAGGCTTTGCTTTCCCTTTCTCCCCAAAAAGTCTTCTAGCAGTCCTTAACTTTATCAGTGACAGCTGCAATATTGTTCTGCTATTGAGATGCTGCACCTGCATTTGACCTTTGTGTTTTTTTCTGAAGCCAGTCACTATGGTTCAGATTTTAATGCCTTTGAGCCTGATCAAGGAGGTGTTGTTGTTGTTGTTTTTTTTTTTTTAGTATTAGCAATTTGTGCATTATGGCTGATGAGGAAGACTTTGTCATAGCATTTCAGTCATCTCAACAGCTCCTGCTAAATACACGCCACTGGAAAAAATAAAATAAATGTGGATAAAATAACACTCAGCTCCCACTGTGTGTCTGTAAAGCAACTCCACACTTCTAAAATGTGTTCACTAAGTGCATGTGGTTAAAAATATGTTGACTACAGGAAAAAAAGTCCAACAAGGGACATTCATAATTCTTCATTAATTAATAGTCAACCCTTTTTCTCCCCCAATTATTTCAAACACCTGCTCACAGTAAATTTCCTTTGCAGCTTTTTAATGCTACTTTAATATTACTCAGGACTTGGAAACATACACTAAGCTTCTCCTATTTTTAATTATTTTCAAATTAATTTCAGTTTTCTGAATATTTTCAGTCGTGCCCATTTGTTCAATAAAACTGAATTTTAATTTTAATTTTTTTTTCCTTCTTAAAGGCCTCCTAAAGTTTCCAGAGACTACTTTTATGGGCTGTTTTAATGAAAGGTTTTGGAAAGGGACTGGAGATTTCCAAATTCCTCTCTTCAAGTCTCCTCATACAAAAAAAAAAAAAAAAAAAAAAAAAAAAAAAAAAAAAAGAAAGAAAAGAAAGAAAAGACTTCGCTCAGGTTGACTCACATCTTGCACACAGCAGGTATCCATTCACCTTTGAGCTAAGCCATTTAGCCCTAAGGACACAGCCCAACTGGTGCCATCTCTGGGCTACTGTAAAGTGTGCTGAAAGTGCAGTGAATCAGAATATCCCAGGTTGGAAGGATCTTCAAATCCAGCTCCCAGCTCTACACAGCACCACCAAAAACCCAACCCTATGTCTGAGGGCATTCTCCAAACACTTACTGAACTTCAGCAGCCACCTTTCCCTGACCCCAGCTGCCCTCCCCCGACGCAGCTCCATGCCGTTCCCTTGGGCCCGGTCGCTGTCACACAGAGCAGAGCTCAGCGCTGCCCCTCCGCTCCCTGTGAGGAGCTGCAGCCGCCATCAGGCCTCCCCTCAGCTCCTCTGCTCCGGGCTGAACAACCCAGGGACCTCAGCTGCTCCTTGCACACCTTGCCCTCCAGACCCTTCGGCATCTTTGTAGCCCTCCTTTCATTGCTCTCTAAATGTTTTATGTGGCACCCAACCCTGCCCCCAGTGCTGGCGGTGCAGCTGCGCAGCACAGAGCACAGTGGGACAACACCTCCCCTTGCCTGGTGGCAGTGCTGGGCCTGGTGCACCCCAGGGTACGGCTGGCCTTCCTGTCTGCTAGGCCACACTGCTGCCTCAGATACAACTTGCTGCCAGCCAGAACCCCCAGATCCCTTTCTATAGGGCTACTCTCAGCCTCTTGTCCCCCGGTCTGCATGGATATCCAGGGTTGCCTTGTCCCTGATGCAGAATCCAGCACTTACTCGTTTTGAGCTTCATGTGCTTGGTGATTGCTCAGCCTTCCAGTTTGTCAAGAACTATCTACAAGGCCTCCACCTTCAAGAGATTCAGCAGCTCCTCTGAATTTGGTATAACCTACAAACTTCCTTAGTATGCATTCAAGTCCTGAGTCCAGATCATTCATAAAAACACTGAAGAG